TCTGCCTCCCAAGTGCTGGGATTAAAGGCATGTACCACCAACGCCCGGCCCTTTTATACTTCTTAATACAAATATTTTCTACACAAGAAAAGATTACCTCACAACCATGAGTTACATATTTTCCAAAAACAAGGTAAAATCTTTCTGTAAGAAGAAATCACATTAAGATCACAAGTTACATGTTTCCCTTAGAAACCACAAGTAGTTAAACACTTTCTTGGTGTTGATTTTCTCATCATAACATCTTCACTAAAAGCAATGATTCTTTTATAATCGGTTAACAAAGTTTTAAGCAAGCTAAGTAGATTTCAGTCAGTTCCTTTTGTACTAGCAGGCAGCTGTTTGCGGTTTCAGTGTAGCAGATTTTGGGTTTCTACTCTAGAGAAACTTTAAACAAATAATCAGTTCACCATCTATTTTCCTTTACACACAATAGGGTCATTTAATTTCCTTTCACAACTTTGGTTTTTCAAGGTGCATACTGGAGGTTGTGATTAACTCTGTAAGTTACACGACCAAGGAACTCAGGCCTAGCCTTGGGTGTAGGGACATAACTGCTTTCTTTGATCATCAACCTGTTTTCCCACAGGCAGAATTCAGGGGTCTATAATGCATAAAACTTCCTTGTTATTATTTTCCATCCTCTGCAAATCTCATATCTAACAAAGGGGGGGGTGTGACTTTTCGTCTATATTTGCCTCCCTTGTATCTCTTACTGGAGCAATGGCAAAATAACCTAAATCACATCCCTAATCTAATCTTTACTAACTGTCCTAACCACTCATATCTTAGGCTAACTCAGAAAATCCAGTTAAGTCATAGATCTAACCAATCATCACTGCTCTTATAAAAACCATCTCTATTATGATTTTCAAGTACATTGCCCAGGGAGGAAACAATCACACTATACTAGATACAGCAGGATCCCTTCATATAGTCGTCACACCACCCCAAATATAGCAGGAACACAGCAGCTGCAAACAGAAGGAAGCATAGCAGAAACAAGGGGCATTCTGGAGACCCCCCTCCCCAGCTTCGCCTCTCCAGGGTTTAGCTTTGCTGTTTGGTGAATTGAACTCCATAAGATCCATTGCTGCCTGCAGATCCTCTGACATGACCACAGACAGCTTGTAACACCTTGCTCTTCTACGGCAGCATGGGAGGTGCAGACAGGAGAAGCTCTCAAGCAAGCAGCGGAGACCCTGCCTTAGAAACAAGGTCAGGCTGGAGAGATGGCTCAGGGGCTAAGAGCACCATGCCCTGTTTAAGAAAGCCTGAGTTCGGTTCCCAGCACCCACATGGCGGCAGCTAACAGTCATTTGTAACTCAAGTTCTAAAGGATCTGACACCTTTTCCTGGGCTCTACAGACACTGTATGTACAAGGTGCACAGATACACATATCAGCAAAACACACACACACACATGAAATCTCAAAAAGAAGGAAAGAACCAATTCTAAAAGAAAGTTGTCCTCTGACCTCTACACAAATGCCAGGCCGTGGACAGACACAAAAATGCACCATACACACATTTATACAATTAGTACATTGTGATCTACTTTTGAGACAGAGTCTTCCACTTTCTGAGTACTGGAATTACAGACATGTGTCACCACACTCAGTTTATATGGTGCTGGGGGTGGGACCCAGGGCTTTTGTTCATGGTAAGCAGGCATTCTTCCAACTGAGCATGTGTGAAAAGAGAGCTGCCTTGTGGTCCTAGCCTGCTGAAGGGTCCAGAAACAGAAATACAGAAACAAAGGGTCCAGGAATATAGAAATATAAAATTGTAAGCCCAAACACATTTTGAAGAAGAAAAAAAAATGCTGTCAGCCATTGTTAACCTTTAACAACCACTTTTGCCTTACAAGCAGACATCCTGGCAGCCACTGTGTACAGAGGTAAACTTAACAATTGTCTCCGGCCTCTCAGCTTCCCGGCTAGGCAGATATGGCAGATAAAGGTTGGCTTCTAACTATTGCCTCTATGGGATTCTGTATTCCCTTAATTTTTAACTGTCCTCCTATGTGACTCTACTCTCTGCCTTGCATTCTTACAGGGACAGCAGAAAAGTGGCTGTATCTGCCACAGGCTTTTGCAAATATCCTAAGTTAACATCCTAACATCCTATATCCAAAAGCTGTAAAACTTAGTGCAATGTGACTCTAAGCCTGACCTCATGGTTGTAAAAGCTCTTTGACCCACACCTGGTGCTTGATTTTACTATAAGAAAAGTCTTGAAACCAGCCCCCATTGCCACAGTTTCAGGAACTCGATCTCTGGCTGTGGTCTCAGCTATAGCTGATACAGTTTTTTTTTGTTGTTTGTTTTTGTTTTTTTTTTTGTGCTCTGCAGTGATTTTCTTTACTTTTCCTGGAATAAACCTTGCTTCTGGTTTAATAGACTTTGGTGGCCTGTCCCTCTTCGTTGCATGACCCCAGAACCAACACCTGCCTTCCCCCCAGCGCTGTGACTTTAGGCAAGTGACGTCATTCTTCATCCCTCCATTTCCTTGACTTTAAGATAGTGATAGAATTTCCCTTGTTGGATGTTTGGAAGGATTTAAAGTCATAGTTGTTACTGATTTGAGACAGGGTCTCATGGAGCTCCGGCTGGCCTCACACTCAATATAACTGATCTGTACCACTGTGCTAGCAAAATCATCTTTGTAAAGAGTTGAGACAGCACTACTGTATAGATGAGTGGTTCATGGTGTTTTATAAAATAGCTATAACATTATTAGTTTTGGACCCACTATCCATGCCCCTGTCTGCATCAGCCTCTTGGGTACCCAGTCTCTAATTCAGAATTTGTCCCTTTTGAAGGTCCCACTGGGAGGGGAAGTCACCAGAATAATTTTCCTGGAAGCAGACCTACTTCCCATGGATGAGAGTGAGTGGATTCGACATCCATTCTGTGTGCTGTTGCAAAGCCATTCGGAACACTGTGTATGATGGGATATTCCTATAATCCTAGAGCTTGGGGAGGTAGAGACAGGAGGATCAAGAACTCAACATTATCCTTGGCTTATTACCAAGGGGCTACATGAGACCCTTTCTCAAAAAAGAAGGAAAATCATTCAACCTAAACATATTCTCCCCAAAGGGTGAGCATGATGCATTTATTATACTAAAGACAAAAGACAATGTCTATCCAGTAATACCATAGATGTAAAGTAAGTGTCCTAGGAGATAGCTTTAGAACGTATCTGCTGTATGAGGAACTGAGTTTGAGCCCCTTCTGTCGTGTTATATTTTGATTTCATTCTGAAAATAAAGCTTGCTTTGAGTCAGAGGGTGTAGCTAGCCACTAGCTGACCAAAAATGAACTAACCATAGAGGTTTGGAGGAGTGTGGACAGATAGGAGACAGGAAGTAGTAAGACGGGGCTGAAAGAGGATCCCAGGCCTTTTGGAGGAAGGAACAGAAGAGGTAGGAAGTCACGGTGACTGCTCCCCTGTTTCTCTGATCTTGCAGGTTCTTACTCTGACATCTGACTATCGATTTTTTTTATCGGTAAATAGTAATTAGATAAATGTTTTACCCATCATATGTAATAAGTCAAGTGTGGTGATGCATGCTATAACCTAGAGCTATGGAGCCAGAGATGGACTGAAAGGCTTCTGGGACTCGCTGGCTGACCAGCCTAATCAAAAGGGCAAGTTGTAAGCCAGTGAGAGACTCATCTCCAAAAACAAAGTGGATGGCTTCTGAGGAATGACCTCTGTCCCCTGTGTGTATACAAACACTCCCACTCCTCCCCCCCACACACAAGTAAAATAACAACGTATGGTGATGTGTGTGTGTGAATGTACATATTAATGTCTGTTCACATGTGTTTGCTGACCAATGTGAAAACAAGCACATCAGGGAATGGAGAAATGAATAACCTGGAAGGAAGTGTGGGCTAAAGACCCATCTGCAGTAAAACACAGAAAAAGGGCCGAAAGGGCTAGCGACTGAATCAACATTTATCCTGGTTTGGGCTTCTGTTGCTACCATAGAATACCATGGGGGAGGAAAGGCTTTATTTCACGTGACAGTTTCCCTAGTCTGTTATCTAGGGAAGTCAGGGCAGGAACTCAAGGCAGGAGCCTGGAGAGAGAAACTGAAGCAGGCCACGGAGAAGGACTGCCCACCTCTTTATTTAGGAGAAGGGCAATATCACAGGTGCAGACATGCTGCTAGCTTGCTCAGCCTTCTTTCTCACCACCTTCCAGGGGTGGTACTGCCCACAGTGAGCTTGACCCTCCCACATCAATCACCAGTCAAGAAAATATGCCACAGGCTTGTCCACAGGCAAATCTGGTGGAGGCATTTTTCTCAGCTGTGGTCCCTCTTCCTAAATGATTCTGGCTTGTGTCACACTGGCATAAAACCAGCCATTGTACCATTCAAACCACTGTGGTTAGTAACAGAGAAAATATCCTACGAATTCATCAGGTAATACAGGTGACGGTTTCTATGTCCTCACTACCTGGGACAGACTTCTGCCTCACAGGATGAATATCCCGCTCGTGCCCACATTCCAACAGGACATTTGGGCCATCAGTGTCACATACTCTAACATGCCCAGGCCACTGGTTGGAATGTGCTTTCATTAGAATGTCTGGGCTATGAGGCCATTTTCCTAAGATTAAAAAGACAGGGAGGCATATGTGCTGAAAAAAGACAGAAGGGAAGTACCTAAACTGCTTCCTGTCCTGCTCTGTGGCCACGGGAAACACCTTGTCCAGGACACAGTCTCCAACATCGATGGACAGCCACGAGTTGCATAGGAAATACCATTTCCGGTCCGCCACGGGGTCATAGACCAGCACCCGGCTCACATACCTAGAGAAGGGAGATGTGGCTCTGAGGGTCAGGTGTGTGAGGAGGAGGGGGAGGAGGGACTCCCTGGGACAGGGCTAAGGCCTTCAGAAAGTGATCCCCGAGTACCTGGAAAAGGCACATGCATGCTCTTTACTTGGTGTCTGGGTGACATCTGGCCTCCTGTGGGGAGGTCATCCAGCAGAGAGCTTTGAAGGCAGCTGCTTGTCCACAGAGAAGCAGCAGGGTGTAGGGAAAACATTTGAAAACTCTGAACCTCTTACTCAGGACACCCAGCAAGAGAAGCCAGGTGGGAGAGTGTGCTCCACCGACCTGCTTCCGAAGCCTCAGACGGGGAGAGGCCACCTTGCCTGAATGAGAGGTGCAGGCTAGCAGTAGCTTTTCTGTAAGTGTGTAGCCAATAGAAACAGCCATGGTGGCAAAGCTTCTCTTCCCAGGTGCTCACTACATAGCCAGCACCATGCTCTACACATGTTCCTTGTTTCCATAAGCACAGTTTCACTAGGGATGCCAAGGCCACCTATGTCCAGGCCATGGCCCTCCTAGGTGTATACTACCACATCTGGCTGCCCAGCATTTTTGTGAAGTCTCACGCTCTAGTCCAGGCTGGCATGGAGCTCACTATGCAACCCAGGCTATCACAGAATTTGTAGCACTCTTTGTGCCTCGTCTTCCCAAACGTTAGGATTGTGTATGTGTACACTATGCCTGATAACGCTGCTTTTCTAAACGGGCTGCCTGCTCATAGCTGGTCACACTGATACTACTTGTCTGAGTCACTAGTTTTGGTCTCAGGAAGAATGGACAGGACCTCGCTCTGAACTTATAACTGTGTGTGACCTTGGACAAGTCTTGAGTTGGAGCTGCAGAAAGGTTAGGGGTGGGCCCCGTGCTGGACACTGGGGCTGGACTTCAGCCCTCTTCCCTTCTGATCTGGTTTGCATACACCATGAGCCAGGGGCCTCTCTGAGCCTGGTTGCCTCACTTGTGCCAAGGAGAGCCATTCTGTGTGTTTGTAGCAGCCCATGAAAGCCAGGAATTGGGTGTCTCACCTCAGCCTGGTCGTTTGCCCTCTCCTCACTCACCATGATGGCCGATCCCCAGAGTTGTCATGCCACAGCCTGAGGCTCTGCAGCTCTCCCAGGGGAAACAGAGTGGAAAGCAGGAAGACATCCACCCCTCCTCGCTCAAAAACTGCAGCATCAGGATCTGACAGGTGGTGCGGTTCACTCTCTCTATCAGAGCCATATAAAGTGAGAGTCACCTAGAACCCAGAGACAGAGGCTGGGACTGTAGCTTGGTCAGTGCAGTGATCCCAGCACTGCACAAAACTAGGCATGCAGACACTTGTTGCACACTCACACATGTGCACAACACACACTCATATACAATGCACAATGTAATATTTTAATTAAAGACTATTCTTGCCTCTAAAATACAAAATGAAACAAGGAGGGTACACAGCAACACAAATCCAAAGACACTCTACAATGACAGAGCCAGCATTGTACTGGGAGAGACACACACACCAACCAACAGATAGGTACATTTGAAGATGTGGCTGCCCCTCGTCGGTGTCCTGTGTAGACTGTCACCAGGTAGTGATACTGGGCAAAGGGCTCATTGTCCTCCAGCACTATGACTTTTACCTAGACAGAAGGACAGTGTTAAGGGCACCCTACTTAGTGAGCTCACCCAGCATCCAACCGCTAAGAATGAGTTGGGTATCAGTGCCAATTAACATGCAAAAAGAAAATTATATTCATTATTATCTGATCCAGTGAGAACTATCCTTTATGGGAAGTAGGGCTTCAAGAAAAATAGTAGCAAAAGCAAGGAAGCAGGAAGTATTTTCGCTATTTAGTGTGACCCGATGCCATCAAGTTGGAAATAAGCTTGGCATTAAACTGGGAATGTTCCCCGGGTGTTGGTGGCACACACCTTTAGTCCCAGTACTTGGGAGGTAGAGGTAGATGGATCTCTGTGAGTTCGAGGCCAGCCTGGTCTACAGAGCAAGTTCCAGGACATGCTCCAAAGCAATACGGAGAAACCCTGTCTCGAAAAACAAAACAAAACAAAACAAAAAACTGGGAATGTTCAGTGTTTGGTATGCTGAGCCAACTGTTTATACAACCAGACTTGTTTCCCAGGGAGCTCAGAAGGAATGAAATGCTCAGATGCTTTAGTTTAAGCATCAAGTGGCCGGAGTTAGTTGGGGGCTGGGGTGACCTCTGGGATGCACTGCTCAGCACCCTTTCCTGTGAAAGGCTCAGTTGGCTGCTAAGGCTCTGCTGTCAAGGATATAGAATCATCTCTGTCAAGGGCACACTCTTGTGGCCACTGACAGGCAATAACCCATCAGTGAAGTGTCTGTTATATGAGTAAGACCTGGTCATCTCAGCCTAGCTCCGTCCAGATCTCCAAGGACTGGTGGGGCTCTCATTGCTGCATAACCACTCTGTCAGCTCCACAGGAGCTCACCCTAAAGGTTCCCCTTAGAAAACACCTCAGCTTTAACTCCATTTTAGAGCATGCTTGCTTTTGGGGAGCCAACCTGAGGCATTTAAGATTATA